TGGCCGGGACCAAGAGCCCTGAACAAGGGCTGTCCTGAGCGTGGCCAGAGGTCCACAGGGCAGGGGGAGGGCAGCTCCTCTCGCTTGGTGGCGTGGTGGAAAAGCTAAAGAGCCAAGCACAGGGCAACAGTGACAGAGACAGTGGCAGCGGAAAAACTCACAAGCTCCCTAGGCAGCAGGAAGCTCTGACAAACCCGTGAAACTTCCCAAAGTGCCATGAGTAAGGGTGACAGTAAAGCGGCGTTTCATCACGCCGCCTGGCTTGGCTGCCCGTGCGAGCGGGCTCCCGCCCAGCACGAGACGCAGGGACCAGGAATCTTGCAAAGAGGGGTTTTCCCAGAGGCTCAGGGAATGACACACAGAGCGGACGGCCCCTCCGCTTTCCTTCCTTTCCTTTAACCTGCTGAGAATCCATGTCTGTCCCTGTCCCTTTGGGGCATGGAGCAGTTTCTCCTCGCAGGGCCACAGGCAGACGGGGCAATGCCGGCTGAGGACGTGGGCGCGTGAGCAGCACTGTGGCCTTGTGGAGCTGGTGCCCAGCAGGCATCGGGGCTGCAGCCAGCAAGCACGTGAGGCCTCAGCCCACAGCAAAGGCTCAGCCAGCTGCTGCCTAACCTCGTTACAGCAGCAACGAGGGCGGGCTGTAATCCAGCTCCATAAAACCCCCTTGGGTCCCCTCCCTCTTCCTCAGCTGAGAGCAGGGTGTGAGGAGAGGGCAGCTGGTCCAGGAGGTCTTGCAGCTTGTTTTGTTCTGTCTGTGCCTGTTTCCCCCCTCCTTGCTGCTGCAGACTGCTGGCCTGTTGGGGTGAAATGTCACCTTTTTCTCCCTCATTTCATTCTGAGGGGCACAGTGGGGTTGGATGCGGTCTGGTGTGTTTGTGTGGGGCTGCTTCTGAAGGCCAGGGTGCTTGGCGTTCCTAGCACATGTGTTCCTGGAGGTGTGTGCGATGCGCGTGGCTGGGGCTGTGCCTGGTGCCAGGGAGGGACCCAGAGCCAGTTTCGGGGCAAGGATCTGCCCGTGGTGCCATGCATGTGCTGATAGGTAGATCCCAGTACTGCTTCCCTTGCGCGCCTGGACATCCTTTTCAAGCACGGTCGTCCCTAGGTGAGCATGGGAACTCCTCCTTGTCCTCCCTGCCAAGGAAAGCCCTGCTGTGTTGCCACTCTGCACCCCTGTGACAGTGTCCTCACCTGCACTCGTGACTCCTTTCCCGCCACTGCTGTTCCTGCCGCCCTTACAAGGGTGGTGGCATGGTGGGTTTTTTATTGCCCACTTGGGTACAGGAGAGAGGGGGAACATGTTTCTACTGGGCTGGCGTCCCTGTTCCCGTTTGCACGAGTGTCCCACCTGGCTCAGGGTGACCATCCTCGGGTCTCCTACGTCTCCACCTGCCTCACTATAACGAGTTAGGCTTTAACTCCTGGTAGATGTCTGCAACTGGGCTGTTCCTCACCCAACACCCCCAAGCCAGGGAGGTGCCGGTGCCCCGTGCTGTGTCTGCGATGCTGCAGAGCACAGGCTCAGCACAGCCAGGACGGCTTGGGGCGCTCTGCAGCGAGCAGCCGCTTGCCCTGCCCTCAGCTGAAGGCTCCCGCAGAGGTTCAGTGCCCGGCTCCTTTTGGCCACCCTCTCCTTCCCCTGTTGCTCTGCAGCCCCCTGCTTTCCCTGGGACAGTCTGGCCGTGCCAGGGGAAGGCCCCACAACAAGGAGCAGGGCTAGGAGTGAGAACTGCCTGGGGGAACTGGCCATCCCCTGGTACCAGCACCCCCTGTGTCAGTCTTTCTTCCAGGGGCATCCCAGTCCTCCCTCCCTGCCCCGAAAGGTGCTTTATGCCCAACCCAGGTTGAAGCTCCTTGCCTGGGTGCTGCTAAGGATTTAAATTTCTCAGAGGGAATTGCCAGCTGACCCCTCAACACAAAACCAGGGGCTTGTTTTTATTTCCCAACGCTGCCACAGAGGTGCTGGTTCCTGGATCTGCCTTCCTTCACCTGCAGCAGGAGCAGCAGAGGTGACCCCGCTTCTGGCTGGGGCCCTGGGTCTGCACAGCCCCTCTCTTCCTGGGCCCCACCTCTGCCTGACAGGGGTAACTGCAGAAGGCAGGAAAACATTTGGTTTAGCAGGGAATGTTTTTGGAAGCCCTCAGGAATGCTGGAGCCACAGCCAGTCCACGGGGCCATGCAGTGCAGGGGACCAGCTCTCTGGCCCTTGCCAGGCTCTGGGGGAGAAGTGGGAAGAAACTGGAGGGTGGCAGCCACCCTGCTCCCTCCTTGCCAAACACGCGTCCTTCCCACCTGGTTCCTGCTGGCCAAAGGAGACACCTGGAGCTGCCTCGGTCCTTTGGACTTGGCTGTCCTGCTCCGAAGGGGAGCTGGGGTGCGGAGGGGAAGGCCCAGGTGCGGCTTGGAGCCCCGCAGGGAGCTGCGCTGCCACGGGGCTGTTTGGCAGAGCCACTCAGCTCTCTGCAAGTGCAAGGCCCGCTCCAGCAGCAGCCGCCTGGGGCCTGCCCGCTCTGCGCCGGGCCTGTCGTTCGCGTGTCCCTCAGAGCTGCGGGCGCGCGCGGCTGCTCGCCTGGGCGAGACGAGGGTCCCGGAACAGCGCTGCAGGGCGAGCTCGGCAGGAAGGGCCATACAGGGCTGTGGGCTGGGGTGAGCCCAGCGCGCTGCCGCGGGCCCCTGCGCCCCCTCCTGCGCCCGGGGCGGGTGATAACGTCGCCAGGAGAGCGGCAGCGCGCCCAGGCGGCGCTCGCCACGATGTCACGTCCCAGGAGCGTCTCAAAGGCACGCGCAGCCCCGGCAGCTCCCGGTGAGCAAGTGCGGGATCAAGCCGTGCCTCGCGGCCGCGGAGCAAGCAGCCGGAGCACAGCCGGCTGCTGCGGGCAGCGAGGCGGCCAGCAGGTCGGCACGTGTGCGCCCCGCGCTCGCCTGCTGATTTATGTTCCTTGGCAATGCCGGCGCAGCCCGGGGAACGGCCGTAACCAGAGCTGCTGTGCACCTGTGCTGGGCCTCCTTCTTTCGCTCTGATTTAATGTCCCAATTGAGAGGTGATGTCATGTCAGAAAGAGCCAGGGAAGAGGAAGTGCTGGAGCAGATAAGGTGCCTTAACTCTTCCCTGCCCGCCTTGGCAAGGCTTTGAAGCTGAGACTTAGGCTAAGTGCCAGCCAGCCAGGAAAACCTGAGAGTGGAGGAAATAGAGGTTGGGTGGGCATTGCTGTCCTCTTTGGACAGAGGGCTGGATGCCAGGACACCAAGGCATGTGGGCTGTGAGGTGGAGGCTCGGCTGCCTAGAGAGGAAGGGCTGAGACTTTGTCCATCTGAGGTTTCCCTGCCCATCTTCTTGAGGGGAGAGGCAGAGTGGAAATGCCCTAACCAAAGGCTCATTACAAGGTGTTATTCAGCTGCAGAGAAGGGACAGGGATTGCCATGTTAGAGACTAGGGCTTTTAAAATGATCTTGTAGAGTCATCCAGGTCTCTTTGGGAGTCAACCCGCAGTCTGCCGAGCCCTTTGAGTGATGTCAGGCTCTGTCTCGTCACTCCTGTTCTCCAGGAAGCCACCAGGACGGCTGGTTGCGCTGGCACAACCTGAGGTCCTCTCTGTTGCCCCGCGCTGTCACCCAGATGCCTTCTGCTAGGGAGGAGGGAGCTTGTGCCACCCCTTGTCTGGCTCTAGCCTAGAGAACAGGGTAGCTGGGGGAAAGGGGCCACGCGGGTCCTACTGCTTATCGTGAAGCGCTTCACGGTGCCTTCTGCGAACGCTATATTGGGCTCCGTCATGCCCTAGCACGCAGCGAGGGAGGCCGGAGGCTCAGGCTCCCATTTCGGGCTATGCCACTATTCTTAGTCAGGTCCCTTCGGTTCCCTAAGCCACTAAGCGCGAGTCTGCAAAATGAGATAACCGGTGCGCTTATGTAAGCGCGCGGGACGCGCGGCCGCGCTGCAGGGCTGCTGCCCTTGGAAGGGGCTGCTCTCCCAGGGAGCTCGCTGGCGTTTTGCCTGTGCTTCTCATGGGGCCTGTGCTTCTCACCGGTGGCTCTGGTTGTCACCTTCCACGTGCTGCTGCCGCAGCTGGCGTTTATCTCTCCATGTTGGACTTCGAGGTGCATGTGACTGCAGACCAGCTGGACGCAGTGAACTGGGCACTGCTTGTTCTCACGTTCAGTAATGTCTGGCCATAAAAAAATACTAGGAAACCTGTTCAAAAGAAATTAAATTTCATCCCCTCTGGCAAAATCTACACTATGCCCCTCTCGCCATTTTGCAGACCCACTTTTCTAATTAGCACTGTGCTCGCCGTCGTGTAAGGCAGGCAGGCGTTTGGCTGCGGGAAGGCAGGAAATCTGTGCCTGGTGTCACTGCCAGGTTGCGTGACAGTGACACTTCTGCAGGTTGAATGTAAGGACCTGCTGCTCCCAGCGGTGCTGTTTGGGCAGAGATCACAGACTCAGCAGGGCTGGACAGAGCGGGACGCTCTAAGAAGCAGCAGCGGGGTTGGTGCTTGCTGCGAGTCTCAAGCAGACCCTCACATCATCCCACCAGGGTAGTTTTGGCCAACAAATTGTGAACTTGTCTGTCCTCAGAGTAGTAGGCAGACAAAAGAACTTTTTCTGCCTGTCACTTCGAGCAGACCTGTCCAAAAGGAAGTGCAAACAGCAAGAGGGGGTGCAAGGTGTCACCTGACTCACATGTGCATTAATGTCCAAAGTGACAGGAGAATAAGAGCTGGCTCTCTGTTGTGTCCTGTGCATTTGTTGTGGTCATCACATCATGTCTGGGTTGATTAGCTAGGGTGGTTGGCTTTTTGCTTCTCAAACCTCCCTTCTTAGCGGTGCCACCAGCTCCATCCGCAGCACAGCCCTCAGCATACCAGGTTCTGCCTGTGCCGTGACGAGGGATAGTCTGAATCTCGGTGCTCGTGTCCTCAACGTCCCTCCTCTTTTTCCACAGGAGGCTTCGCCACCTTCTCGTCCTGCTTCCCAGGACTCTGCGAAGGGAAGCCAGCCGCCATCCTGCCCATGAGCATCTCCCAGCCATGCTTACCCGTGGCCAATGTGGGGCCCACGCGCATCCTGCCGCATCTCTACCTGGGCTCCCAGAAAGACGTCTTGAACAAGGTAGGACCCTGTTGGGGTGGGGAGTGTGTCTGTCTACACCCTGTCCCAGCTGGGAAATCAAGCAGGGTGGTTGCTGCAGTCCTGAGGGCTTGAAAGCCCTTCCCAAGCACCCAGACCTGGTTAACAGCAGATTCAGCAGCTCTGTGATGCCCTTGAGAGCCAGAGGGAGTGGGGAGAAAGCAGGGAGCGAGAGCACAGGAGTAGGTGGCAATGGCCAGAGGCAGAGCACTTTTTCAGGAGGCCTGAAAACGGGCAAAGATCGGCTATGGGAAGAGACGAAGCAAAAGGGGCTGTGTCCTTTAAAGGTGCTGGAAAGGCTGTGTGATGATGTCAGGCCAGGGAAGGAATTTTGTTTAAAGGAAAAATAAAGGCGAGAAGAAAGGAACAGGAATTGCAGTTAAAATGCCACTGGGCGCCTGCTGCGGGCAGGAGGGCGCCAGTCCGCCATCC